ACTCTTACAGAGGATCCAAGTTCAATTCCCAGAATCTACATGGTGGCTCACAACCATCTTACTCCTGTCCCAGGAAATCTGAAGCCTTCTGACCTCCATCCATAAGCACCTGGCATGTAGTTAGTATACATACATATACACAGGCAAAACACTCATACACATACAATAAAATAAATCTTAAAAAAATATATAATAAAAGAAAGAAAAGGGGGATGGAAAGATGACTCAGCAGTTAAAAGGGTTAAAAGCACTGACTGCTCTTCCAGAGGATCCAGGTTTGATTCCCAACACCCACGTAGCAGCTCACAACCATCTGTAAGTCTAGTCTCAGGGGCTCCAATCTTCTTCTGGCCTCTATGACTACCTCAGGTCTAGAGTAACAGTTTGGGTTTTGGTGAGGGTGAAATGTTAGCTGGGGTACACAGACACACATGCAGGCCAAACACCACACATAAAAATTTAAAATAAATAAATGAAGAGAGAGAAAAGAAACTTGGCGGTAGAGCAGAAGCCCACACCTCCTCGATGCGAATGGGAGCTATAATTCTGTCAGACCTGCCATGAAGCCTGCAGAGCTCATGAGCGAGGCTGTGGGCACCCTGTGCAGACCTCAGAGGGGAAGGGTCACTAGAAACCTGTGCGGGACTTCCCAGCTCACTCTTTGTGAAACTTCTCCTTGTGCAAACAATCCCCCATTCACCAGACCTCTCTGGGGAGAGTTCAGATCTGGTGAATCCTACCCACCCCTTTAGAAGCAGACTCAGAATCAAGGCCTAAGGGCAGAGGGATCTGGGATGTGTCAATCAGGAGAGAAACCCGAAATGCTGCTCCTAAGGCTTATGCCCATTTTGCCACTGAATGGCATTTCAGGATGCTGGTGATTCTGGCACACTAGGGTCTTCCTGGCTCCCCTTCTCTACACCAGGGTCTCTGCCAAGCCACTGACAGATAGAGGCTAATGTACCACCTTCCTGTTTGTGGCTGGGTAACCGGTTGCCCTATCTTCTACATTTAGAAGTACGCCACTTCCTATGACATCACTGTCTTGTCCCTACAGGTGTTCCCTGTCTCTGGTGGCACTGTACCACGACTGTTCACACCCCAGCTGACATTTTTCACCCTCACCAAAACCCAAGCTGTTTTTCTAGACCTGTGGTAGACGGAACAGGAAGACAGTCTTGTGGAGTTTATCATCTCATCTTTTGTAACACTGATAAGGATCCCCCCCCTTGGTCTTATCTATGTTTGTCATTTTGTTTACTGATGAAGACTTTACCCTCCCCCCAACACTCCCTAGTCTTTACATGAAGTTCTCCGGATGAACTCCCAGTTGAGTTCAATTCCAGGAAAAAATCTGTTCTGAAAGTTCATTTGTATGCTTTCTGTTGTCCCCGATCCAAAACTATGCAATCTAGTGCATTTTTGTTTGTTCCTAAGCTGCCAGAAAACTGGAAGCCAAGTTCATTGTCCAAGTGCTGCAATCTGCTCCATTCAGGCCATTCAAAATGTCCCTTTTCTTTTGCTTCCTCCTGCTGAGCATCTCTGGGTTTCGGGTTTAGTTTAAGTAAGTGCCTACAACCAGCACCCTTGCCTACCTCTTGACTTCTAGACTCCACCCATCCCTCCTGCCTCACCACCGCTGCCCCACCAGGTTGCAGAGCCCAGGTCTCCCTGGCATCAAGGGTGGAGTGAGCTTTTTAAGACACAAAGCGGGGTCCATCACTCTTATTTTGGGGAACTCCTCATTCTCCATTTTACCTTGCCTGCCTTGGTGAGACAGACAAGATAGACAGACAGACAGACACACACACACAGGAGCGGTGTGTGTGTGTGTGTGTGTGTGTGTGTGTGTGTGTGAAGGCTCTAACTCCATGCTGCAGCCACACTGGATTCTCCCCCATGCCTGCCTCTTTCGCCTTTCCCTATGTTGTTCTCTCTGCCCCAGACAATCTTCCCTGTGCCTTCTTGGTGAAGGCTCACAAGCATCCCCTCTGAACCTGGAGCCATCTGGATTCTCCTGGTTCTGTGGCATGCAGCAGGAATAGCCAGGCCAGACTAGAATGGTATTTTCTGGAAGGATGAAAGAGGCTGTCTTGATCATTGTGTCCCCACTGACTACCACACAGAGCATTTTGAGTGAAGTTGTGTCCAGACAGGGTGCAAATCTTCCAGAATGAGCGTCCAGACGTAAGACTCTCTGCCAGCGTCTGCATTACCCTACCTACAAATAGTCTCTGAGGAAAGGCAAGATAGCTCGGCAGGTAAAGGTGTTTGCTGCCAATCCTGAGGACACACGAGGTGAGAGGGCAGGACGAACTCCTACAAACTGTCTTCTGATCTACACGCATGCCTGATGGCACATACACAATAAGCAAAAATATAATAAAAACTGTTTCAATTTTTAAAAAGTCTCAGAGCCGGAGATATAGCTTAGTAGGTAGAGTGCTCACTCCCATGCAGGAAACCCTAGGTTTGATCCCCTGCGTCTCATAAAGGTGTGTGCCACACTCCTGTAATTCCGGGGCTTGGGAGATGGCTAGTCAGTTAAGAGCCCTGGCTGTTCTTCCAGAGGACCTGGGGTTGGATTCCTACCACTCGCAGGGAGGCTCACAACTGTCTGCTACTCCAGTACCAGGGAACCCACACCAAAGCCTCCTTGGGCACTGTATACACATGGTACACAGACATTATGAGGCAAACACTCATAAAAATAAATCAAATCTCAAAAAATTTAAATTTAAAATCACGTTCAAGGTCTGCGTAAGCTACCTGAGACCCTGACCCTGTTTCAAGAAACAAAACAAAAACAACAAGGACGACAAGTCCCTGAACTGAGCCTGACTGCTCCTACCAGCAATCCTGCCTTAGAGAGCTAAGGCAAGAGGATTATAAATTTGAGGCCAGCTTGGGTCACATTCTGAGATCCTGTCTCAAACTACAGTCTGTTTCAGTTTGCCCTCAGCTTCCTCTCAGAAGCTCCACTTCCTCCTCTGTGGGCCATTCCCTAAACAGGTCTATTCCACTCTTCAGGTGTTTGCTACCGAAGGAGAAAGGCTCCAGTCACCCACCACAGCAGGTGCAAGCGTTACATGACAAATCACTGTAAAGTGCCTATTAGAACACCATTACCACACCCCACAATTACCTGTCATTTGGAGAGTTGAAGTCACAACCCCCAAAGCCATCAGAGCACTGGGCCAGAAGTCAGCCTGCTTCTTCCTCAGCAGGCTGGTTAAATCAGGGATCCCGCACTTTCCTAGTTACCCAAGGAGGGCAACCCCCACCCTCCAGCTTCCTGTCCCAGCTCATCACTACGGATTCCAGGCGCTGGGCTTCCTCTGTCTCAGTGGTCGGACTCCTCCGTATCTCGCTGCCCCTCTTACACAAGATTATATCCTGTGTTGTTAAGAGACTCACTTACCCTGGGCTCCATCGGCTCCCAACTCCATTCTTGGCGGGAGTGGGAAGTAAACCCCAAGGATCCCCACTTTCCAACACTGCAAATCCTGACTCCAGCCGTCTGGACTCCCCCACCCCGGCGTACAGACGCCCTCTCACAACGCGCACTCACTCTCAGGCGTCCCGGAGCTCCGGCACAGCGCAGGGCCGGGCTCTGCCCAGCGGCTGCAACTTTCTTCGGCCTCGAAGTCAGCCCGACCCGGGAAGGCGATCTGGATAGCTCTCCGTGCGCGTCCCTACGGTCGGGCTGAAAAGTCCCCAGCGCCGCCTACGAGGAGCCCCGGCTCGCCCCAGCACACTTTCCTCGCCGCCCCCGCTCGTACCCTCCCGGCTTTCCCCCCGAGCTCGCCCCGCACTCCGGCTCCCGGTCCTACCTCCCCGCAGGCGACGGCTCCGCGAGTTCCGGGGCGCATATCGCGGACACCCGTGGCGGCGGCGGCGGCGGCGGCGGGGGCCTGGGGCGCCATGGCCCGCTGCCCTCCGCGCCTTTGTCCGCGCGGCCTCCCCCGGCCGCCGCGAGCCCCTCGGGTCCCCGCCGCGCGCGCTCCCGTCCGGTCCCCGCCGCCTCCGGCCTCGGAGACGCGCTGCGTCCCCTCCCTCCGCCCGCGCGCGCGGCCCCTTCCTCTGCCTCGGGCTGCGCCGCGATCGTCTGCCGCGACGCGCGCCCCCTCCTCCCGACCCATCCCGCGGCTCCAGTGAGCTAATCCGCAGCTGGCGGGCGCCCGGCCGGTTGCCACAGCAACCACTCTCCCAGGGCCCGCCGCCGAGGGGGAGCCACGGTAAACAGGACCTTCTGCCGCACTCGCCCCCTAGTCTTTCGTGGGTGGGGGGGAGATGGTGGCTTAACCTTTTCTGTGCTGAAGATCGCCTCATGGGTTCTCTTCTACCCCGGCCGGGGTCCATTCTCGAAGTGCGCTTAGCCGGGGGCCGAACACCAGACAACGACAACACCGAAGCCACGCTCCCTGCCCTAGCATTGTTTCTGGTCAGTTAGCAGGGAGCTAAACTGCTGGATGCCTCAGGCAAAATTGGGCTCCACATTTGCCCTCAAGCAACTGACAGTCAAGAGACAGGCCTTCGAGACCCACCGGCCCACGTTCGTCCACAAGCAACTCACAGTCATGAGACAGACTATTAGAACCCACACGGATCCATATTTACCCCCAAGCAACTCACAGTTGCTGCTGGAGCGGGCCATAAGGATCCACGGGTCCACCTCCCTTCAGAAGGGTAACAGAAAGGGATCTAAGGCCACCAGAAGGCAGGCTGGTCAGGAAAAGCTATCAGAGAAGTGACTTTTTACTGCCCACTGGTCCTTCTTACCCAGGGCAAGATCAAAGCACACATGCAGGAGGTTTTAGGATGGTAGGATCGCTAAATAGAAGCCCACTTGAAAATGTCGTGGGCTTCAAGGGAGTCAGGAACACAGGCTGGGGCATTCAATGAAGTCCTCTGGGGCTTTGATGGCCTGGGAAGCTGAATCAATTGTAAAAAGTGGAGAAACAGAGGAAAATGCAGTCTGGGAAGAAGGGAGCTCCATCGCGGTATCTGAAGAGCCTTTAAGTAAGAGGGGATAAGGTAAGATGGGGGGTAGGCTGAAGAGCTTCAAGAGGTCTGGGCAAAATCTGAATATTATGCTGAAGGCAATAGAATCCAAGTAGAGGAACACCAAACGATAACTTCTCACCCTGACAGGAACAGTTTGTCTGTCCTGGGGGGTAGGTGCCAGCCAGTCTCTACATTGGAAAATGTCATTCTTGTTTATAGCTTAGAGACCTCCAAAAGAGTTGACCTATGTTTCTGGAGATGACCTAGTGGCTTCATGCTTGGCTTGTGTGTGGGGAGGGGTATTGGCACAGATCCGGACTTCTTACAGCTTCACTAAGTGGGTGCTTAGAAGAAAAATAGTGCTGCATTTAGAGAGGAAGGCCCCTTGCCTGGCATGCCTGCAATCCCAACTTCCAGGAGACTGAGGTCCTTGTGCAAGGGTGGGGGCAGACTTCAGGTACCAGGCAACTGGGATTTACTTAGAGTCGCAGGGAAAGAAGCTGCATCTCCTTCCTGGCTGAGGGGTTTGCTCATCGCGTAAGATCTTTGAGGCCTTCGTAAATTCTTCATGCCACACCCATTTCAGACTTTCAGAATAGACCTTTGCCAAGCTCAAGCATTTGTTTTTTTTTTAAAGTGTTAGTATTCAAATTATTGCTTTGTTTGCATCCTTCTAAGCCCTCACTCTCTAAATAAAGATCAAAGGCTTGGCTGCTTGAGGGTTAATTACTCCCAGGACCACAGGGTATCCTGATTCCACCGCAGCAAACTGGCAAAGTTCAGTGGGAACTGAGCCAGGAGCCCAGCTGGCCGCCTCCCCCAGCCCAAAGCACAAAAGAGCCTAGGAGCTTTTGAGTGTGTGGCTTCAAGATAGCTAGTTACATCTTAGGTGGACATCAGGAAGCTTGGGCTGAGGAGTCAGTCATTTGGCAACCCCTAGGCCACCATTTTATAATGGAATTCCGGGCACTAACTTGTCTTAGGAAAATACCCTTGCTTCCGACCCCGGGGTCAGATTTTGAGGAATGCCTTCCCACCCCAGCCTCACCACTTCTGCTGCTCCCCTTTGCTGGGTCACCCTATGGCTCTGTCACCATGACTCAGATCTGCTCATCTTCCTCTCCCCACTTTCTTTGCTGGTGTCCAGTTTTCCCAGATGAGGGTACTTTTGGTCCCATCTAAACCCTGGTGAGTTGCTAGCCCAAGTAGCTTAAAGTCGCCCCCCTCCGCCCGCCCCCTCCCCCATGCATGCACACACAATGGATACTCCATGCCAGGCGCTCCAAAGCATACATCCCTTATTCTCCCTGTCTGTCCTCAGCTTCTCTCCTGGTTGCAGAATGAGACCCGAGGTAGGCATGAAGTCAGCTTTCTGTATCTGAAGGAGTATGGCTTCAGCAACACCCTGGATACCAAAATGTTTGGATTTTCAAGTTCATTATAAAAACGGTTTCAAACCTGCATATCTACTGCGTGAATTCTTCCATACTCTTTAACTCTAGATTATTATTATTACTTCTATATAATCCAATGTACTATGTAATTATAATCTATATACATATATATTGAACTATTTTCTTTCTTTGTTTCTTTTGCTTTTTGACACAGGATTTCTCTGTGTGTAGCCCTTACTGTCCTGGAACTTGCTATGCAGACCAGGCTGACCGCAAACTCACAAGAGATCTGCCTGCTTCTGCCTCCCATGTGCTGGGATTAAAGACGTGCACCACTACCTCCTGGCTATATTGAACTATTTTTGATAGCTGTTAGACTCTATTGTTGTGGCTTTCTTTCCTTCTAAAAATGTTCTGTGTGTGTGTGTTTGGCCTGTGTGTGTCTGTGCACCACGTGTGTGCCTGGTGGCAGCAGACATGAGAAGAGGGCTTCAGATCAGGATGCTGGAGCTGGAGTTACAGACGGTTGGGCTGTGAGCCACTGTGTATGTGCTGGGAATTGACGGGAATCCTCTGTGGAGCAGCAAGTGCTCTTAACTGCCGCCTCTCCAGCCCTTGGTTTTTGTTATTGTTGTTTTTCATTGTTTTGCTTGTTTTGATACCGCATCTGGTATTCTAGTCTGGCCTCTAATTTTCTAAGTAGCCAAGCGTTTTTAACTCCTGACCTCCTGACACTCCCTCCCCAGTGCTGGGATTACAGGTGCTTACTGGCATACCTGACTTTAGACTCTAAAGGGGATGACGACAAGAAAAAAAAGATTATACGTGCCTTGCATGTTGATGTGGGATTTCCCCTCTGTATGCAGTGAATATGTTTTATTACCATTGGTTAATAAAGAAGATGCTTTGGCCTATGGCAGGACAAAATATAGCCAGGCAGGAAATCTGAACAGAGATATAGAGAGAAAGAAGGCAGAGTCTGAGAGATGCCATGTAACTACCAAAGGAGACAGACACCGGTAGGCCATAGCCTCGTGGTGATACATAGATTAATAGAAATGTGTTGATTTAAGATATAAGAGCTAGCTAAGAATATGTCTGTATCATTGCCCAAGTAGTGTTGTAATTAATATAGTTTTGCATGATTATTTGGGTCTGGGTGGTCCAGAAACCAATGTGCAGTCTCTGCTTACAGCATGGTGCTGCCCATCTCTAATCCCAGCACTTGGGAGACTGAGGTAGCAGGATCATGAGTTCAATGTCAGCCTAAAATACATAAATCTCCCAGGAACCCCCAGCACACACAGGTGTATATTTTCAGTTGTGTGTATATCTCAGAATATTTTCCACCAACAATTGGCTGAACCTCAGACTTTAGAATCCACAGATGTGGAGGCACAGATTTGGAGGGCTGACTATCATCCTGGCTCAAACTGGGAAAGGTGAGATTGAGACAAGGGGACAGCGCTGACCTCTTGTGAGCCTTTAATTCTGCTTTTTCCATATGGTACAGTCTTGGATCGCTACAGAACATGTCACTTCCTTTCCCTCCTCTTCCTTCAGGGTCCTGTTGAAGAACATAGGCTTGGGAGTAGATAGCCAGATCCAGCTCCAGAACAGGTTACTCGGCCTCTGCGTCCTGTATCTTCATGGGTAAGGTGGAAATAGAACCAGTTGTAACCACCTCACTGTGTTGGTGAGGAGGAAGTCAGGTAATAGAGAAAATGATTGCTATTGTGCCAGGCCCAATGTGAGAGGAGAACTCTTGAGTCTCCTGTTATTCTCTCTCTCTGTCTCTCTGTCTCTGTCTCTGTCTCTCTCTTTCTCTCTCTCTCTGTGTGTGTGTGTGTGTGTGTGTGCATGCGCATGTATGAGAGAGAGATCAGGAGGAAGGTGTGGTGTGTGTGGGTACTCCAAGGGCTGGAGGAAGGTGTGGTGTGTGGGGGTACTCTAAAGGCTAGAGGAAGGTGTCCTCCTCCATCACTCTCCACATTTTCCCTTTGAGGCAGGGTCTCTCCTTGAACCCAGAGCTTGCTTTTTGTTTTTGTTTTTGGCTTGGGTAGCAGCCAACAAGCCCCCATGATCCTCATGTCTCTGCTTTCCCCAACCAGGGCTGGGTGTGAAAGCGCATGGGCTGCAGAGATGGTTCAGTGGTTAAGAGCACTGGCTGCTCTTCCAGAGGTCCTGAGTTCAATTCCCAGCTACCACACGGTAGCTCACAACTATCTCTAGTGGGATCTGATACCCTATTCTGGCATAAAGGGGTGTATAAGCAGATAGAGCACTTACATGCACACATAAAATAAATAAATACATCTTGAAAGAAAGAAAGAAAGAAAGAAAGAAAGAAAGGAAGGAAGGAAGGACATACCCACCCTTTTCCTGGGTTCCAGTATCCAAACTCAGATCCTCAAGGTGCTTATCAAGTCCTCTTAACAACTGAGGCCGCATCTCCAGCCCCTCCCCCCTTTGTTTTCTCTGCTTTCTCCTCTCCTCATGAATACAGGGTGTGTCAGACTCCAGAGAGAGAGAATCAGGCAGTTTTTCTTCTCTCCCATCAGAGCCTTCTACCAGAGTGGTAACCAGCCCAAAGCTCCCATGCTTCAGCTGTCAGCCACCAGCCAGGGGAGCTGAGAGGGAGACCTCCAGGCTCCTGAGCAGGTTAGTCCCATTGAGAGCGCAGATCTCACCCAAAGAACAAACCTTTGGACATCACCCTCACATTTTCTCATTTCTAGCAAGAATCCTTCTGGATGCACCTCTCTGTCCCCGGCTGTTCCCTGTCATGTTGTTATGTATCTTACTGGGGAGCACACGGGCCTGGTCCTGTCCACTGAACCCAAGTCCCTTCTGTCTCATCACATCGCTTGGGAGCATGGTTCTGCCAGCTCCACCTACTTTTCAAGATCTCTCGAGCAGCATCCAATCCATGTCTTGCCTACGGTTCCCCCTGGTGGACGGTGCAGGCAGTGCAGCAACTCCCTGCCCCTGGCCTGGTGGATTGGACTGGTTTCATTTGGGCTCTGGGCAGGATCTTTCCTTCACCGCACTGACACTTGTCTGTCAAGCATAAGTGAGACATATACACAGAGTCAGAGATGGACAAGACATCTGGTTAGCTATTCTCTTGAAAGCTGGTGTGGGGAAAAGAAACATGTATCCACCCTATAAAGAAGGACAAAAGAGGAACCTGTCAAGGGGCAGGGAAAGTCTGTGTCTCACTTTGACACACTCTTGATGATGGCTCTTCCCATCTGGAGACCACATGTACCCCGGGCACTCAGAGCCTGTGGAAACACCCAGGAGAGCCCTTTTCAGTCTTCCATGGGCACCTGTTCCTTTCTGCCTGAGGAGCTCACCTCCTCTGGCCTGTCCTTCTCATGACCTGGCCCATCCTTGGCTCTGTCTTTCTCAACAGGGTGTTAGCAGAATTCTTGGGGAAAAAAAAGAAGCCAGACATGGTTGGGCAGGCCTTTAATCCCAACATTTAGGAGGCAGAGACAGGCAGATCTCTGTGAGTTCAAGGCCAGCCTGGTCTACAATGAGATTTCCAAGATAGCCAAGGCTGTTATACAGAGAAACCATGTCTTGAAAAAACAAAAACAAAAAAAGATTAACTATGAGTACAAATGCTGGCCTGCATTCAGAGAAAAAGATTACATATATGGAAAAGTAAATTTACTCAAAATTTTGGCTAGAACTAGGGCTTCTTCTTCTTCTTCTTCTTCTTCTTCTTCTTTTCTCCTCCTCCTCCTCCTCCTCCTCCTCCTCCTCCTCCTCCTCCTTCTTTTTTCCTTTTTTCAAAACAGGGTTTCTCTGTGTAACAGCCTTGGCTGTCCTGGAACTTGATTTGTCGATCAGGCTGTCCTAGAACTCACAGAAATCCACCTGCCTCTGCTGGGATTAAAGGCATGCGTCACTACTATCTGGCCCCTATAATGTTTTAAGTTTACAGTTTTCTTTTGGTTCCCAGTCCTAGATATCCCGCTCTCTGAGAAAAGCGGATGAATCAGTGAGTGAATGCCGGTGTAGCTCTTCATGTCCACTGTGAGCCCAGGACACACAAGATGTCAGGATAGTTCTGAGGCCGGAACTTCTGTGTGTCCTTCTGAGCTTATGATGCACAGCTCTCCATCTCGTTTCCAGCATCTTCTCTGCCTGAGCCTCCATGTTTAGGAGGAAGAATTCCCCAGGGAAGAGTTTATTAGCACGAGGATGTGAGCTGGCGCTGAACTCAGACGTGCAAACCCTACTAGTTTGTTCTCCAGCTAAAACTCACCAGGTACCCAGACCTCAGTGACTGCTTCCTTCGCTACATTCCCAGAGGTCACCCCTGGCCGGGGAGAGAGCATTTCTTCTGGAAAAGCCTGGTATCTGACTACTTCCTACCTTGCCCAGGTCACAGATTTAATCAAAATAAAAAGGAGTGACTAGCATTGAGCCAGGCGACGTGAACTGCCAAGCTGGCACCGTGATCGTGGATGAGTCAGCCCTTCCCTCTTCTCGGGTCCCTGGGAAGACGGGGTGAAGTGGGTCTTCGGGAACTCTGGCTCCACCTGCAGCCCCCTCAGGTTGGCAGAAGCACCACATAGCAGCCATTCTCCCTTGAGTTCTGCCTTTTCCTTCAGTAGATGTCAGGTGGTACGGATGCTCGCAGGGCTTGTCTGGGTGGTAGTGGAAGAGCTGACCAGCCAGAGGCCAACTGGTTGGCTGCCTTGCCAAGGACATACCATCACAGCTGGGACATCATGGCCACCAGTCAGACTTTTTGTTGTTGGGTTTTGTTTCGTATATTGTTTATTTATGTGTGCCTGTACATGCACGTAGGCACCTGTGGAGGTCAAAAGAGGGTGTTGGGGTTACAGGCAGCTGGACCTCAGACGTGGGTGCTGGGAGCCGGACTCTGGTCCTCTGAAAGCGCTGCAAGTACCCTTAAGTGCTGAGCCTTTTATCCAGCTTCGGTTTTGTTTTTCAGACCAGGTATCACGCTGTAGACCAGGCTAGCCTGAAACTCATAGCAATCCTCTTTCCTCAGCCTCCTGAGTACCGGAATGAGACACTAGCCTGGTTGGGTTTTCAGAACAGATGGTCACAGACCTTCAGGTCAGCAGAACTACTGAGCTGGAGGGATGTCAGAGATAGGTGAACCCATACTTCCCAGACAGAGGAGAAGGGACTGTCCCCTTAGTGTTAGCACGAGTCCAGAATCTGGGAAGGGCCCACAGGGTGCTTGAGCAAAATCAGAAGATGGAATTGGAGTGGGAAAAATTCTCCTGAGAAGGGCTACACCGAGCAGAAAAGAAAGGGAGAGGGCGCCGAGCCAGCCCTCCTTAGGGAGGGATTTGGAGGCAGCACTGCAGGGCATACTTGCCAATGGCTTTCCCCTTCTCTTTTGAGAGTGAAATGCATATAAATATATATTTAAATGATGCTATATAGTTAATAGGCACATATTTTTAAATGATGCTGAAGATTAAACCCAAAACCTCACACACACCAAGCAAGTGCTCTGCTCACCTACGGCTCCCTCCCATGGCCAAAGTTTTTACACCAACTTTCTTAGGGGCAAATTGCAGGCCAGGTGTATCACATAGGACTTGGAGTGGGGTCAAGGGGCTGACCCTCTCAAATATTTCTTAGCTAGATAATCGTCTTGACCTTGTAGAAAAAGAGAAGATGGAAAAAGACAAACTCTAGCTTCTTGCCAGCCATTTTGAACTGTGAAGAATAACAGTTTGCAGTTTACCTGCTGCCAGTTATGGTGTTCTGTTAATGCAGTCCCAAGAGACCCGCAGGGCCAGGGTTGTTTCCGACACCATGTGGGGATTGGTCAGAGATGCAGCTAAATACCCTCCAGTTATAGGACCCCCTCAACACACACACACACACAGAGCGCAGGAGCAGACAGACACACACACAGAATGCAGGAACACACACAGAGCGCAGGAGCAGACACACACACACACACACACACGAGAGAGAGAGAGAGAGAGAGAGAGAGAGAGAGAACGAGCGCACAGGAGCAGAGCATCTTCTTGCTCAGAATGTCAGAATGTCAAAAATCCAGAGATTAGGGTAGCGAGCTGGCTTGGCAGTTAAGAGCACTGGCCCCTCCTCCAGAAGACCCCGGCTCAGTTCCCAGCACCCACATAGTTCACTGTAACTCCAGTCCCAGGGATCTAACGGCTTCTTTTGATTTCCACCAGGCACACATGTGATGCATAGATATACATGCCAGCAAAATGCATGTAAAATAAGAAAACAAACCTCCTCTTCTTTCTCCAGGACACTAGCTGTGCCCTGCCTCCCATCTACCACGTCAACATGTTCCGTGGGAGATGCTAAAATGTTAGCTTCCTGTGCAAAGAGAGGTCTGGACAGGTTTACTATCTCGTTTTTTCTTTTCTTTTTTTTTAACCTTTAAAATTTTTTTTTAATAGATGATAGAGTATTTTTTTAATTTTGCCAGATACAAATAGAGTAAATATTGTAACTAATTCTTGCTCGAACCTGTTTTTTTCCCATGATATTTATTGAGCTCTACACTTTTCTCTGCTCCCCTTCCTGCCTCTCCCCTCCCCCCTTCAATTCTCCCTCAAGGTCCCCTCCTAGGCAGGTCTGGAACCCGTGGGAACCTTGGCTGCACTTCAAAGTGAGTAGTGCCACCTAGTGGAAATAGAGTGAACCACGCCAGCCGGGACACTGCCAAGAATTGGATACAGCTCTTGGTGTTGAGAAGCTGGAAATCAATGAAGCTTAACCAAAGGAGGGCAAGTGGGCTGTTTACTCAGCATTGTCTGTAGAAAGGAAGCCAGCCGCCATCCGTGTACAGAGACTTAAACTCGAGTGGAGATGAATACTGGTGGGGACGGGTGTTTAGAGTGTTTAGGGTGTTTAGGGTGTTGTTGGGGGCAGTGGTGAAGGCTCTACCTTCATTTCTATGGCTGTGATAAGATACATCCTGATGCTAAACAATTGGGGGGATGGGTTATTTTGATTTATAAATTGCTTATTTTTATTTTATTTATTTATTTTTTGAGACAGAAGCTCACTCTGTAGCTTTGGCTGTCCTGCCGCTCACTATGTAGATCAGGCTGGCCCTGAACTCACAGAGATCCATCTGCTTCTGTCTTCTAAGTGCTGGGATTCAAGGCATGCACCACCATGCCCGACTATTTTGGTGTATATTCCAAGTTACCACCCATCACTGAACAAAATTCAAGGCAGGAACTGAAACAGCTAGTCAGTCACATCACATGAACTTGCTCTCATCTGCCTTTCTCCTGTCCTGCATAGCTCAGGATCTTCTACCTACGGAATGGTAGAGAATTGGCTGCTATTTTACTTATTGGGGAGGCGTGAAGTGGAGTGGGGTGGATATGGGCTTTAACAATAGCAAACTGAAAAACAGTATTTATTCATGTGTTTAAGATAGGGTCTCCTGTACCCCTGCTAGCTTTGGACTTTCATTCCTCCTGCGTCTACTCCCTAGTGTTGGGATTCCATGTGTGAACCACTATGTCCACCTGGCAGGACTTGTTTTCTAAATATTTTTATTTATTTAGACAGGGTTTCACTATGTAGCCTGGGCTGGCCTGGAACTCACAATGTAGGACAGAGCTGGCCTTGAAAACACAAAGATCTGTCTGTATTTGTCTTCTGAGTGCTGGGATTAAAGTCCTTGATGCGCCACCATGCCAAGTCAGGACTTTGTTTTAAATGAGCTCTTTTGCTGGGCATGGTGGTGCACTCCTATAATCACAGCCCTCAGGAGGCAGAGGCAGAAAGACCAGAAATTCAAGGTCATCCTCAGGAACAAGTCAAAATAGAGGCCAGCCTTGGCTACTTGAGATCCTGTCTTTAAAAAAAATTTGCTTGGGAGGCTGGAGAGATGGCTCAGAGGTTAAGAGCATTGCCTGCTCTTCCAAAGGTCCTGAGTTCAATTCCTAGCAACCACATGGTGGCTCACAACCATCTGTAATAGGGTCTGGTACTCTCTTCTGGCCTGCAGGTATGGACACAGACAGAATATTGTATACATAATAAATAAATAAATAAATATTTTTAAAAAATTTGCTTCGTAGCCAGACAGTAGTGGTACATGCCTTTAATCCCAGCAGAGGCAGGTGGATCTTTGAGTTCAAGGCCAATCTGGTCTACAGAGTGAGTTCCAGGACAGCCAGAGAGCTGGTACACAGAGAAACCCTGTCTTGAGAAACCAATAAATAAATAAATAAAATAATTGCTTAGCATGATGCCTTAGGTCAAGCACTTGGGAGCCTGCCTCAAATTCAAGGACAGTTTAGCTCTAAGTGAAATGCAGATTAGCCTGGGTTATGAATTAAGGCCTTGTCTCAAAATAATAACAGTGATAATACTGCTAAATCATAAAACAGAAAATAAACAGATGACATCTTCCATGATGCATCTCCCAGGCCCGTTTTATGACTCGGGAGGAACAGAACTACTTCTGCTTTTATTTAATGATAAAAATGAGGTGTTTGCTAATTAGGTGTGGGGCTAAGCATGCCACATACATACAGCTCGCTTCTTTTTTAAACTATTATTTTATTTTATGTGTATGCGTGTATTGCCTGCATGCGCATCTGTGCATCAGCCTCACTTGCAGAGGTCAGAAGAGAATGTTGGATCCCTTTGGAACGGGAGTTCCAGACTGTAGTGCACAGCCATGTGGGTGCTGGGAATGGAGCTAATGTTCTTTTTTTTTAATATTTATTTATTTATTATGTATACAATATTCTGTCTGTGTGTATGCATGCAGGCCAGGAGAGGGCACCAGACCTCATTACAGATGGTTGTGAACCACCATGTGGTTGCTGGGAATTGAACTCAGGACCTTTGGAAGAGCAGGCAATGCTCTTAACCTCTGAGCCATCTCTCCAGCCCGGAGCTAATGTTCTTAACTGCTGAGTTATCTCTCAAGAACCCTCTGTCTCTTTTTGAGACAGGGATTTAGCGTGTATCCCTGGCTGGCCTGGAACTTCCTTTGTAGACCAGGCTGACCTTGAACTCTCCCTGCTTCTACCCCCGAGATCTGGGCTCCTCTGGCCACCCTCTTCTTTTTTATTTTAATGGTGTGGGAGGTCGTTCTGTCTAGTGTTGATTTTATTGTTAATGAATAAAACGAATAAACTGCTTTGGCCTACAGCAAGGCAGAACTTAGCTGGGGGTAGACACTAAACTGAATGCTGGGAGAAAGGAGGCAGAGTCTGGAGAAGCCATGTAGCCCTGCCAGAGACAGGCACTGGAACTTTACCCATAAGCCATAGCTTCATGGTGATACACAGACTAATAGAAATGGGTTAAATTAAGATGTAAGAGTTCGGCCGGGCAGTGGTGGCGCACACCTTTAATCCCAGCACTTGGGAGGCAGAGGCAGGCGGATCTCTGTGAATTTGAGGCCAGCCTGGTCTACAAGAGCTAGTTCTAGGACAGGCTCCAATGCTATAGAGAAACCCTGTCTCAAAACACACACACACACACACACACATACACAAATGTAAGCATTCGCTAATAAGAAGCTAGGGCTAATGGGCCAAGCAGTGATTTAATTAATACAGTTTTGGTGTGGTTATTTTGGGAGTCTGAGTGGCTGGGAAACGAACAAGCAGCCTCCTACAATATTTTAAGATTTGTGTGTGTGTGTGTGTGTGTGTGTGTGTGTGTGTGTGTGTGTGTTGGGGGGTGTACCCTCGGAAGCCAGAAGAGGGTGTTAAATTCCTTGGAGGTGGAGTTACAGGGGCTTGAGAGTTGTTAGAAGTGGATACTGGGAACTGAACTCAGGCCGGCTGAAAGAACAATACACACACTTTTAACTGAGCCATCTCTCCAACCCCCCACCATCACTCCCCTACCCCTGCTACTCCATCCTGCCATTCCACACCCTGAAGCCCAGTGCTGTCTGACCTCCCTCTGGTTATTCAAGATTAAACACACACACACACACACACACACACACACACACACACGCAAGCACACGCACACGTCTTTGTCTTTTCCCACTTTGGAGCTTTCTTTACGACTTCTCTCCCAAGACCCTTATTTCTTCTCCAAAGTAGCCGGGTCCTTGGTACATTGCTTTCATGGTCCTTGCTACACTTTTTTTTTTTTTTTTTTTTTTTGAGACAGGGTTTCTCTGTGGTTTTGGAGCCTGTCCTGGAACTAGCTCTTGTAGACCAGGCTGGCCTCAAACTCACAGAGATCCGCCAGCCTCTGCCTCCCAAGTGCTGGGATTAAAGGCGTGCGCCACCACCGCCCTGCCTTGCTACACTTTTATTTTTATCACAGTTATTTTATATGTTGGGGACACGACTTAAAGGAACCGGTGACCTCTTGACAGCAAACACCGTTAGCTGGCTACCGAGCCATCGCACCGTGTTCCTGGCTATTCACCTACTCTCCCAGTAATAAGCGGGTGACAACAGAACGAATGTGTCTACTACCCAGAGTACAGAATACCTCGTTGAATACATATTATTATGAAACAATAAAATATTGGAATCAATTCAAGAAAGACTGATTGGGTTTAATAAGTATTAATCAAAAGTATAAGTCATTCCCTAAGGTCTAAACACCACCGCTAAGTCAGTGCAGGACCCAAGACCCACACCCAGGGGCTGAAAAGCTCGCCTTCCGTTGGACCCACCAGCAATCCATCGGGCGGTTTAACATTTCTAGGGTTTAAACTACGAAGCTCAGAAGAGGAGAGGGCCACACGGAAAAGGGAGTCACAGAGGGTGCTTCTGTGTTTTGCGCTAAGCCATTCAGTGTGTGCCTTGCCCTGGTGCGCGCCGCGGTCCCTTTAAGGAGCGCGTCTTGGGCGGAGAGGGCGGGGCCTGGTACCGGAAGCCGCGGGCGGCGCGGGCCAGGACGCGGAGTGCTCTGCCCGGCTGGGGCTCCCTGCTCGGTGCTGGTCCCGGAGCAGTTGGGTGTGCGCGTACCCTCGCCGCGTCCCGGGGACCTGGACCGTGCACCCGCCTCCCTGCGGCTCTCTGAAGCTCCGCTGCAGGCCACGGGTCCGCACCTCCGACCCTGGCGCTCGGTGTCACCCCGCACTCTGCGGTCTGGCTCCGCACAGACCCGTGCGCGTGCTGACCCCGCGTCACCCGCGGTCCCTGGCTCTGGTCGCTGCCCGCCCCGGGCCTGGCCTAGCTTAGGCGGCAGCCCTTGGTGGGGGGTGGGGGGCGGTCCGATTTACCCCAGCTTCTCCCGAAGCATCTCCACAAATGGCTTCTTAAGTAGAAGACAAGCAGCCTAGGCCTGGGGGCCTGGGGAGAATGGTGACCCTCTGGCGTTTGTCTGTCAGGGTCTGCTTGTCACACTTAAGATGCTTTGAGTTTAGGAAGGAATTTGGCCTTCCCAGACCCCTGGGATGCTCTCGCAATGCCAGACTATGTTGGTTTCTGCTGGGTACTTTGCCCAAATTTATCTCAGCCCATGGGGATGTTGGAGAGGGGGCGCCTGGCACTTTGTGCCAGCGAAAGACCCACTGGAGTGACCTGGCTGGAAATGGGCGAGTGGAAGTGGCTCAAGCAGGGCCTCTGGGCCGCGTCTTACTGTGTCTCCGTCTAGGGCTCCGTGCTGGCATTCTCTTGGCGAAATT